AACACTGAGAGAGTCCTTTAGCTCACTGAATCTCTCTGTCTGACAGGAGAGGACTCTCCTCCACTTTGTTGTTGAAAAAACTCCTTATATCCGTTAGCGTAGCTCGCTAGCACCAGAAGCTAACAACAACGATCTCCGGTACCGGTGCGCTCTCTCTCTTGCTCTCGCACACACACACAGTGCCAAGCTTTAATGAAACACAGAGACCCAGACCCTAGACGTAATAGTACTGTACTGCATCATATTATTTTCGAATCAATAATTTTTCAATTTATGTTTTTTTTTTTTAATAGCCATTTTTCCTCCTGGTCTCTCGCGCCCCCCCTGGCATGCCTCTGCGCCCCACTTTGAGAACCACTGCTCTAGACCGACAAGTTTTTGGAGCTGGAAGTGAACCGGATTCCGGAGCTAAGAGCCGGCGCCGCTGCGGTGTGAACAGGAAAAAACGGCGCTTTTCAGGCTCCAGCTCCGAGCCGGAGCTGAAAAAGCGCTGGTGTGAAAGGGGCATAGCAGGCACTAAGGGTAAAAGTTCCCGGCACTAAGTACTCTTTTTGGTGTGAACGCAACATAAGGGGTACTAACGGAACTAAAGGGGCTTATGACGCTGCGCTGTCAGTGCGCTTCTCCATGTTTGTGATTGGTTGAATGCTCCAAATACCACCCCTTTCATTTGAACGCGCACCTAACTAGATAGGGCACGGCTGGCTTGAGCGATCCACTTGATAACCAGCGTCGTAAAACCGATTAGCGAGAGCGCGTATGTTTTGGGTTAGGCCAACCGGCTAACTGGAACATATCCAGGTTATGTTGAACCGGCTTCGTACAGGCCTCTGCTGTCTCACACACACACACACACACACACACACACACACACACACACACACACACACACACACACACACACACACACACACACACACACACACACACACACCATCGAACACACAGAGATAAATGATGGTATTTTTGATAAAAATACATTAATTATTCAAAAGTTGTCTTTCCCTTGCTCTCTGTGTAAGACAGAACAACACGCAAACATTAATGCCAAATCTGAACTTGGCTCTGACGGCAGCTATACAAAGTGTGTTTGATTGAAAAAAATAAAATAAGGGTTTAACATTTCATGGAATCTGGGCTTCTTGTCTGGAACAAACCAGATGAAAACAACAATAATGTTGATTTTGGATAATTTCATCTCTTATAGTTGAAACACACCAGTTCAGTCTATGATACCTAAAACATCACTTAATATGATGTGATCACAAAATCTGAGTCATCAATACAATTTATTGTTTTACAGTTTATTATGTCTTGCTCACCACTATCATCGATCGTGTATCCAGAAGAAGTGGAGAGACCATTTTTAAGGAAGAAGCTCCTAACTTGACTGTTCACTACCCAGATGGTAAAAAAGTATCAACATTTCCTTGACATATTGTACAATTTCAAAGAAGAACTAAACTATAAACTCAACTATAAATCAACTTACTTAGTAGGCATAAAAAAATAGCTTTATTAGTTACATGTGTAATAACAGGCTATTTCTCTGCACCAAAGATACCAAAAATCTCATAAATCTATTAGTATTATCCAGATTTTTTTTTTACCTTTGTTTCAGTATTAGAAAAAAAAACTGCCCTGTTTGTGTTTTAGGATAAAAAGTAGTTTTAAAATGGTAAACAAAGAGCACAATCAATTAAACTCCAATGAACATGAACAATTCGTTTTGCATGCACTTTAATCCATTTTAATTACTGCTGCTAAATTGCTCTTTAAAATGAGCCTGTCTGTAATTGGAATTTGATTACTGCTTTATTAGCTTTGCTGCAAGCTCTTCTTGTTGTTCCAAAAAAGTTCAGATCTTAAACATCCAATTTGTGGTCTAAACATAAAAAAAGGGCGGACCCTTTACAAAAAATACACAATAAAGTGATTAGTGTTTTGCATTTAATGTATTGTCACAGTTGACCACCAGGAGGCTCTACAGCCTCCACCTGCATCATACAAACATCGACTCTGATGATGAAACAACCACACATGTTGCCTGTGTGGTTGTCAAAGCAACCAATCAGACCAAAGGGATGACAGAAGAGTGAAACTGAAATGTTTGCTGTGTCTAAACCACAATCGTCTGAATGATTAACTCACTGAAATGAGTTTATTAGTGAATTGTATTTAGGTTTTATTGTCACAAATTCTAGCTACAAGTTGTTTGTGTCTGGATATAAATTAATGTAATTGGGAAAAGTGGTTCCTAATTTGAACCAATTATAGGACAATTAGAAGAAAGTCACACATCACAGAGAGAAAGAGTGTGTGTGTGTGTGTGAGTGTGTGTGTGTGTGTGTGTGTGTGTGTGTGTGTGTGTGTGTGTGTGTGTGTGTGTGTGTACTACTTTCCATTGTGTCTCTATTGTGTCTTTATGTAACACACACACAACATGATCTTCAACAATACAGGAAATATTAGTTACATTATATTCAACATTTATGATGGCAATGAAATATGTATTTGTTGACCTCTGTAAAAGGAAATGTACAATAACAGAATAAATACCTGGACTTCTGAAATCCTTGAGATACACAGCTGCATTATGGGTAAACAATTGAAAGGCCAGCACAGTAATGACATCACGCTTTTCTATATACGGCTTTGGATAGCTTACAGGAGCAGTGATATAAATGAACTAAGACTTTTTTTGTTACTTTTAAGTGTCAATATACAAAGTGGTTATTTGCTTTAACTTATCACTATGAAGTGCATGGTAATTACAAAATGTAATTGCTCATGAATAATGACACTATCAGCATTTATAATGGCTCCTTATTAGTAACTATGTCTGCCTGCGGTTCCCCATCTTCTGTGAAAATAAAGGCTCAATTAGGGGAACAAAGGAAGTGGATGGCACTCTGGTTGTCTAATGAAGGTAATCAAATAAAAACATGGAGGCTCCGTAGTTAAACCACAACAGCAAACTCTTTATTGCTCCCGCATTGTCAACCACAATATATTACAGCTTTAATTCGTACCTTTCATAACAAGAGCCTTAGTTATATACTCTCCATCACTGCCTACCTAGAGAGCATTTAGCTCTCAACACAATAGCTTACAGTAACTATTCCCAAGTTGCAGAACAACCGGAGTAACGATCACTTTGGAAACTCAAAAGGGCCTCCTCGTTCACGGAGAATGCAAGATATGTGAAGACAATGAGTGATACAAAAATGTCTTTCTACTAAGCTCGATCAGTAACAAAGGCTGCCATTTCGTTCATATCGGTTGTTTTGTTCTGATATTATCACAGCACTTATATTGGGGTTTATAGTTCAAATTGTGATGTGGATGTATCTTGGTTTACCCAGGCAGCTAGCATTAGCCATGTTGCTAACAATATATATAAACAAGTAAATAGTTTGATCTGTCTGTTCATATGAAAAATAACAGACAGAAAACAGGTTTTAACATCACAGTTGGGCAGGTTGTTGGGGAACAAATGCAATGTGTCCTGTGGTGTTGGTAGCTTTTAGGAATAGAAAAACGATACAGAAGTGGCACCAACAACAAGACCGACCGCTTGAAAACGCTAGTCGACAAAAAAGCAGTTTGGATATAGCCTATTGGGAAAAATCAACAGCTGAAAGATGTATCTGCATGTTATGGAGATGTTAAAGCCTTGTTCTGTGGGACTCCCTCTTATCACTGTAAGTAACGTCAGCAGCGGGGTTCAGGGCCTGTCACCACCTGGAGCAGCTCGGCACAGTGTGGCACAGAGCGGGCCGATGGAGCACGCTTTGGCTCTGACCCTCGGCACCAGCTTGGGCAGATGGTCTGCGGCGTGACGAGGGGGAGCCGGTGACGAAGACATCGCCCAACAGCTGAAACAACCCACCACATACAGGTGGTGAGGCGATCCACTCCCCCACACTCACAGACCGGCATGGTGTTTGTTACATAACCGAGGTTGAGGGGCTTCACTGTCTAATCGGTCCATAGGACCTTCAATTCATAGCAGTAGTCATGGAAACACACATTAGGACATGCACCCATGCAGACACATGTAACTGCACATGGACATAATGAGATACACAAAAAACACACACACTCTTTGTGGATGATATCTGAAGCTGTCAGAAGGGTCCGAGTGCCTCCCAATGGCCTGCTGTTGCACTGTAAAAGATTTATCATTCAAAATCTCTGAAATACAGGCAGAAGGGAATACAATTACAACATTGTAAATAAAAAAATGTGTATTATTGTAAATGGTGCTCAAAATTAAACTGTAATTTCTCCATTGTTCAAATATTTTTTGATATTGCAAGGCAGATGTACCCTTTACTGTTTTTCAGATTCTGAATGATTTTGAATTAACCATCCTACACAATGGCTGACTGATAGGCTGAGATGCCAATCAAGATACCCATTTAAGGTGTATAGTTTGCCTATAAAAGACCAATTAGAATACTCACTGACCTGACCTGAAACGAAGATAAGAAATGATTTAATGTACTTGGAATGCCAAGCAGAACCACATGTCATGACCATTAGCTGCTGTTTTGAAAGGGTATGGGTGACATCATTTAATATTCTTCTAGTGTCTTCAAATCCCATTGTTCTGATATTCAAACTCTTAGTCATTAAAAAAAGGGGTTGTTAAATAACAAAAATAGCATGTCATTCTATTTAAGCAAACATAACTCAAACAGTAGGAAACAAATAAGTTGTTTGGGACTATTTTCAGTGGCGGATCCACATTCAGATCTCAAATCTAAATACAATTAATTGTGTGTGTGTCTATCATGAAGGGACTTATCAAAAAAATAACTAATTGTTGCTTTTGGTTTTCTATTGGATTTCTTGACTAGCTGACTGACTAGAGCCACCCCATAGTGGCCATTAAAAGAACAGCAGGTAATGGCACTTCCCGCATTAGCTTCTATCGTGTGGTGGTTGCGAGAAAACATTTTAACATTTTTAAAACACTCAGCAAGACACCAGAAAACTCTGTCAGTGAGTAAGGATAAGCCTTTATTGGTGTTTGGAGGGGGAAAAGCCATCATCCCTGTGGACAGCACACAATATGGGTGAGGAGTCAGGGTAGTGTTGGGACTTGTAGTTCATAACAGTCAGTCACAACATGGAGAAGATGGCTGGTAATCCACAAAATTGAAGGAGAAATAACAAGGCTGTGTACATTATTATTATCGTTATTATTATTGATTTTACTATTACCCGCAATGCTGTGTTTCATCGTACATCAGCCAACTGTCATTGCCACCACGTGAAAAGTAGGCCTCAAACGACCACCGAAAAAAGTTGCAACACGCTCAACAACACAGTTACATAGAAAAATAGCACTGTCAAAAAGTTTCCAAAATGTCTGAGGAAATCCAAAAATCCCGGATATCAAAAAGAAAAACCACATGGCTTTCTTCTTCCATTAACGGATGGAAGTGTAAGAAGCTCTGAGACTTTTCTTCAAGGGATTATATTCAAATGTTTGTTTCTGTGGATCAGGTTGAAACATATTCCCAGAAAGAAAATACCAAAGAAAAGAATATATATATATATATATATATCAAGGATATAACTACAGCTCCCATAATACTACACAACTGGGATTCAGTTAAGTCTCTGTTGAAGGTGTCAACAGCAAACAGGCGCATGGGAAATCAAGTAAAAGTTGTTCATGGAAATCAAAAAGGGATTTAGGTGAGCAAATCACAGCTTCCCCTGAATAAAACAATCAAGAAATCATAATACTTGCAACTATGGCTGTATATCAGATAACAGGACATCTTTTTTTCAAGTACCAATTAGTCGCCAACTCTAAGCAAAGACACACGCTTTAAATTGACCATTCACTAAACCTCTCCCCCAAAGAGTGACTGTCCAATCATAGCTAGCTGAGTGATTGTAACTTGGTTTTGGAGTTCTAAGCATGTTAAAGAAGTATTGCATTGCGCTAAAGTAAAAGAGATACTCTTAAATGCACATTTAAGACAATTTTGCAAATGTCGTACAACTCAGTCAGAAATATTAAAAACGTGCGACTCAAGACTGATTTTGCACTGGCTTAATGTTAACTAGGTAGCTACAACTTACAACTTAACCCGTTATGAAAAGAAAACTAACTTTGTTATCTCTAAAAAATAAATCAATAACTTCCAACATCACAATAGTGGCTGGGCTTCCTTCAATGAGATACTGTTCCTAACACTAGGATGGGTCAAATGCAGAGAAACCATTTTGTTACATAGTACCTGTACTGTGTAATGACAATAAAAGTAAAAAAAAAACAAGAGTGATTGTAGAGATGTTAGCTAGCTAGCTAAAGATAATGTTGTCATGGTGAAAAGTGTTTGCGAAGCTTTAGAATTTAACACATAGCAACTTAAGGGGGTGGGGCTTGATGAACGGCCAGTTGGTCTTCGGGAAAGTTTTCTATCCAACAGCGCGTTAATAATAAATTGGGGTACAACAGAATAATAACAATAAAACCCAACAGCTTGGAAATGCTTTCCAAAAACAAAAATCCAACATCATTTTAGTTTTTCCTCCCCAAAACAAATCCAATCAAACCACAAACTCTCTGATCCAAGACTTGTTTTGTGTTTTTTTTTATATGTGTATTTAATACCTCAGACAAAAACACCTGAGAAAAACGGACAAAATGATTCCATTGGGATTTTCTGTAATATATTCAATTATGTATATTACAACTATAATCACATAATTCAAGCATATATCATATACATATATATATTTATATCTAGTGAGAGAATAGCTTAATATTCAATAGTACAGTTGTATGGTACAGTAGCAGTAGGGTGCATGTCTTGTTTCTCATTGGGTAAAGTCTGAAGGAGAGGTATAGACAAGTGTTTGTGTGTAAATCTATATACGATTTATCGATACAATATGCAACAAAAGCAAGAAAAATGTTTAACTAAAATGAAGGAATAAAAGATAAAGAAAGGGTATAGACAGTTCAGTACTGTGTTTGAAACAGTGGAAGTGTTTGCATGTGTGTAATTAGGGTGTGTGTGTGTGTGTGTGTGTATGTGTGAGAGTGTCAGGTGAAGGATTAGATCAGATCAGCACCATAGAAGTCCATTACAACAACAACAACAACAACAACAACAAGGGTTCAAACCTGGGTAAGGACTGTGTGTGTCCAGGTGTTTGTTGTGTGTCTGCATGCTGAATGTCTCAGTCACTGTTCAATCTGGGCAAATCAACCCTAAACCAGTTAGTATTTCATTTTTGCACATCCTGGACAAATCAAGGAGTAAACAGAGAGAGAAAGACTGTTGTGTTATTGATATCTGTCTCTCTGAGTGTGTGTATGTGCGAGAGCAAGACACCAAACTAAATGCAAACCTGCCAGCGAAAATTCTCCACCTTTATTTAGTTTCAAACATCTGCTCACATCCAGCTGTTCTGATGGCTAATTACTTCCTGTTTTCCTCTCTCTTTTTCTCCTTATCCTTCAAAAATAAAAGCCCCTGCGATCATTTAAAAAATCAGACACGGAATCAAATAGAAGATAACAAATCAAGTGTTTTAACGAGCCCACAAAGGAAACAAACAAACACAAAAATCTCTTAAAACTGTACAATTTTTGTTTCACCGTCTTCCCCCTGCCATCGCCCAAACGGCTCCCGCTGAGAACAATCGTTACTAAGATACCCCGCCTCTTCTCGCAGCAAGTGAAATACCTGATTCAACCGTGATACATTCTCTGTTACTCCCACGCCTAACCAGCTCAGTGAAATCAAAAATAGATTATCTGTTGTTTGCGATAAACAGCTGGGAGGAAAAGTGTTTTGTGTGGCCCCATGACTGTCCAGCTAAGCCCCTCCCCGCCCATATATAAAATATACAAAAGAGTATCTCCAAAATCCTCCTCCTGACTATCTTTGCTAATAGAAAAATATACAATAATCCTATGTCAAAATCTCTTTGCGGTTATGGACGAAATCCCTGCACCTCCTCCTCTTTGCTGGACTAGTCTTGCCTTCCTGCCCACTTCAAAAATATACATGTTCTTTTGTCCTATTTATAGAAAAAAATTACACATCTGACCTCTCCTGGCTTGTATCCGTGCCTTGAGCTTATAACGTGAGATTTCACTGGTATAATGTGAATTCAACACCCTGTTTGAACTGGCTGGAGTAGCAGCCGGGACGCACTACCTGCAAAAATGCCGTGCGACACCGGGTGTAAGCACAGCACCGAGGGTGACGTAAGCTGCCGAGGTGACACGCGGTGATACAGTACGTCGAGTGGAATTCAGCGAAGCATCACGTTAAAAAAAAGGAGCCAAACTGGAAAAGATGGCGTCGCTGTGCTTTCCCGTTCGTGACATCCTGAAGCACAGCGTGCACACACTTTTCGTGTTTGCGCCCGGTGTCGCACAGCGCTTACTGCAGATCTACGTCGGCCGCCCCCCTCGCCACTTCAACTAAAGTGCTGCTGTTGTCGGGTTTGCCTTGTACCCTTTTCTCATTTCATCCTCCCCTCCCGCCCCTATCTCCTTCGACGTCTTCTTTCTCTTCCTCCGCCGCTGCCTCACAAGTCTCCGTGTCGATTCTCGTACTTGTTGATGATGTTCCTGCAGCGGCCCAGCTCTTTCCTCATGTCGGCCACCTCCTGACGAAGTGCACCGTTTTCCCGCTCTAGGAAGGCGGCGCGCACCGAGATCTGGTTCTCCTTCAGCCGCCGGGCGTCCCTCGAGCGTTTTGCCGCCTCATTGTTCTTGACGCGCCGGCACCAGTACCTGTCGTCCTGTCATCGGCGGCGGTGTGGTATGTTGTGGTGTGTGGGGAGGAAGATGGAGGGAGGAGAGAAAAAAGAAGAAGAAAACGCAGGATGAGTTATGAGGGTCAGATATAAGAGGAGATGAAAGGAAGAAGGCAGAGGAAGGGAGACAACAGTTGAATAGTTGCTACAACTGGACACAACAAACATGAAAATATCACAAATGCGGAGAGAGCCACTTCGGAAAAAGATCACTGTGGCCTTGGAAAATAGTTAGTCACACAAAATAAATTGAAATGTTGCCATTTTAGCTATTTCTTCCATATAATAGCTGCAGTAAGCAGCTGAAAGATCAAGTGCATATAGCATGTTGTAATTAGGTTCAGTGCTAATGAAAGATTGTATTTGGAGGCACTGGCAGAAATAGTGGCTTTATAGATCTTACGAAAAAAGGTTTGTTGTTGGTAGGTGTGTAGTTCTCTCAACCAAGTAGAACACTAATTGATAGTCGGTGGACGTGCCGGCGCGTCCAGGTGCGCATAATCTACGTAATTAATCATATATTTTCGATTATAAGAAATATGATTCAGATATCCGCGGAATCGCTGGAAGTGTAGCTTTTCCAGCAGTACCTCCTGTGAGACTGTAACTTGGGTTGCGGTCCAATAGTCCATTTAGCTTAGGAACCTTCCTAACGGAGTGAAATGACCCGGAAGTCCCTCAGTGGCAGCCATGATAAGTGCCTTTCGAATTCTCTAAATGAAAGGAAAGGAGGTTTCAAACTTCCTTTATAACCTCCTTTAGCTTAGGAACCACTGGACCTTCTTTTGCTGAAAATCGGATGTGAAATGTTAAGCTTTAGAGTAGGGATGCACGATAATTATCGGTCTGATATTAGGAATTATGACGTCATCCCGATAAACCCGATACCAGTATTAATAGCCCCGATAATATACAATATATTTTTTGGGTAAAAAAAAAGAAAAAAATACTGCGGTGTGGGTGGATTGGGATGAGGGGCGCTTGTTTTTCACTCGGCTCCTCCCGTTTTGCCAGTACTGTGGTATTAGTGGTTTAGGAAGAGGGGAATTCTTCACAAATCCAGCGCTCCCTAACTCATGCCTGGCTGTGACGTAAATGGTGTGCGGCCGTGAAGCCAGGACAGTAAACAAACATGTCGTCGGTGGTATGGGCGTTGGAGCTATGTGCAACTCAAGGCATATGCTCGAACCGGAGCTGCCTGGACGCTGCAATCATGTTGCGCGCTATCCGTGCTGAGTGTGCTGACTTTTCGTACAATGTCCCACTGTCTGGCTTCCTGCATAAAGTCAAGTGCTCGGCGCAGTTGTGGCGAAATGTCGCTCCTCTGTTTTCATTTAAACAGCTCCTTATATCCGTTAGCGCAGATAGCTAGCACCAGATGCTAACAACAACAATGCACGTAAGGTCTCTCACTCGCTCGGGCCATACATACACACACCCTCCCGGTCCTCCAGATGGCCAGTCGGTGCCTGCCGGTGAGCGTGGAAGTGTGGTCTGCCACAAGCGGGCGGCAGGAGCGGGGCTGTCAGCATCAGCTTGTAGATGGTATTTTAAACTCGATGCGCTCTGAAACTACGGGGCGGCCAAGGAAAAAAATACACATGCGTTAATCGCGTTAAAATAATTAGTGGCGTAAAAAAATGTGTATTATCGGTTATCGGTATCGGTCTTGAGAAGCAGGAAGTTATCGGTATCGGTATCGGTTTCAAAAAAACAATATCGTGCATCCCTACTTTAGAGCTACTTATCTCATCACACAGTGCTCTAGGGTGAGTTATTTGCATTTATAGCAAGACCAGAGATTGTCCTGAACATTTTGATATGTAACACATGGGGTGCCATGTATAACAAGTACAATTAAAAAAGTGATTTAAGTAAACATCTAAAAATCGGGAAAATACCCTCACCCCCAGGGCTCGAGCTTAAGGACTAAAAAAATAGTGTCGGGGAGGATAACAAATAATTTTGGGACGAATTTGGGACGAGAGACTGGCTGTCAGCCAGCCGCCCAGCTGGCTGTGCCCGTGAATTCCTGGCCCGCAAATTCGCGGGTCTAGCTACTGAGTGAGTGTGTGTATTTCGCGGGTTGAGTGATGTACAATGACAATGGCATCCCGTGGAGGAATTCTGAAATGTTTTACCGTTACATCACAAAAACGCACAGCAGAACCAGACCCTGGAGCGCCGGCCTCTTTATTTACTTACTCCTCTTCATCCCCTATGGGTAAGGCTGAGAAGAGAACCCTCCATCGTATTTAGTCCTTAGCAATATGATGCGCCTCTCCCCATGTAGGGATGGGTACCGAGCAGTCTATGGTACCGAGCCCCGGTATTAAACGGGCCCCGGGCAGGAATTATTAACGACAGTGGTAACGTTAAGCTCCGACGTTATCGGACTTTTTATCTGTACTGGAGACATTTAAAATATATATGTCATATGTATTATTGCTACATACACATTATATCGCAGTTTTAGTTTCGCCAACTCCGTTTCTAATATGCAATAAGACTACAACATGCGTCTGTGATGTATTTTCGAGCTTTCCAATCCAGACGAGATGTCTCTCTCCCGTCTGTGTGCGAGGGGGCGGGGCAGTTTGTAAAGGCCTCCTGACTGTGTTACAGACTGTCATCCTGGTTAGTGGTTACTCTGGGTTCTGTCTTCAGGACACAGTGTTGGATTTTTTTGTTAATTGGATGGGACTTGATTGGATTCAATATTAGAGTAATTTTCTCGTTTGTGTGTTTGTTTAAATATATTTGGCCTTTGTTTATGTGATTGAATGATTTACTCAAATAAAAAGGTTGATGAATTATCATCTAATGATTTGTATGATGTTTTATTTATGTTAAAGGTCACTTTGAATGATTTTAACTAATGATAATGTAAAAAAATTAACATTTTATATTCAGGACGGTCCACATTAATTTCGGGACGGCTTAGATTGTATTTCGGGACGGTTCCGGGAGGATGGTGAAAAAAGTTAGTCGAGAGCCCTGCTCACCCCCTAATCCCACCAGGAGCGTTTGCGCTGCGGCTGCGGCGTTTTTAGCGATCGCGGCCACTCTAGTCAATGGGTGCTATTCCACCAGACCCGCTGCGCCGCGGCTCGAAGCGTCCCAGAAGCTCCTCGCCGCAAGGAATTTCTAAAATATAGGATGAATCCTATTTTTGACGCGGCGCAGCGCGGCGCAGGCAGGAAGTGGAACGTTCATCCAACAACTGCGAGGCTGCACACACGACGCTCCGCTTCCGCAACGTTTTGAAACGCGCCTGGTGGGTTATGACGCAGGAGGAGGTCGCAACGCGGCGCAGCCGCAGCGCAGACGCTTCCGGTGGGATCAGTCGTTTAGACTCCAGAGGGTTAACTTGATATTAGCAGCCCCATTTGCTAACAAGGATGCTAACATTCTTCACAAATGACAAATGCAGCAATGTGTGACACAGCTAAGACTTTGGTTCTGAGCAACAAGTTTAGGATTTTGGCATATTTTGACTGCTTAACATCACAATCAGCATTAAGGTGTTTTTTTGTTTTTTTGTCTGTTTGTGTCTTAACACTTCTCCTTAATAAACCAAAAGTTAGCATTAGGCTAATGCCTAATTTGCAAATTCCCCATCTTGCCATAAAAAAAAACGTTATATTGATTATGTTGTCATAGTGTATTAGTTAGATGTTTACCCTATTCACTTGGGGTGTCCGTTCTTAAACAGCTAACTGTATTAGCCACAAACAGAAACTGTGCATCAGCACTATTTTGACATACCATATTGTGTTATAACATAATAAATATCAGGAAAGATAATGGATAAGCGTATTTAGAATTTACTGAACCTACTGTGAATTCAGTTTAGTATCGCTTTAGGTGGCCATGGTATGAGAGCAATAATACACTGCAGGGTATACTTATCTACAAAATGAATGGGCCTTGTCTGTTTCTTTCCTATATTGGAACTGCTCCTTATATTTGATAAGTTAAAGTATGTATTTGCTATCACATGAAAAACAGACACTTAAAAGCTAACAAATAGACCCATTACGACACAGGAAGCAATCAGACGGTGTGCAATACCGACAAATAAGTATGTGAGACTGAAAATAATAAAGATAATAGCAAAAGTAGTGTAAAAAAATGCAGCTGTGCAGTCCTAAGTCAGGGCTAAACAGAACAAATAAAGTCTGCAGCGTTGCTTTATGGGGCATGAAAGCAATCTTTTGACCGGTGAGGGTCTCATGAGAGGAAGATTGGAAATCACAGTGATTGTTGTTGTGATTGTTGGACTAGAGTAAAATAGGAGTCCAAATTGAAAGTCGAGATGTCTATCTGAACGATTTATACCAGTGGAACGGTGCAGGCCCAAACTGTAAGTGTTGATATCATCCCACCATTAAACTCCAAAATCATTACACATTTGCTATTTTTTTTTTTAGAGGTTCTGAGATATCAGCTTTGGAAATATGAGATACGTTTTTTAATGAGTTCATTAAAAAAACTCCTCAATGTTATGAAGATGAAATATCTTTCATCTTTCGGTCGTAGCCATTGTTCCTCCGGCTGAGGGTTTGTATTAAACAAAGAGCTGAATCTAAAATATCATTTATGAGGAGCTGCAGAGCAATCCCAGCTTCATCTTTAAGGCTGGTCAGACATCATTTGTCCCGGACAACCTGCATACAAATGATTTATTAATCCTTCTGCGACTGAACACGAGGCGAACGCCTTCATCTGTTCATAAATTAGAAAAGCCTCCGGAGCTGCAGCTCCTCTGCACTGAGCTATGAGAGCAGGAGCCATCACTCAGAGCTCCGCTTATTGTGCAATGAACGCAAGACAAAATATTTTGTGAGTCTCGTCAGGAGCCATCAATATTAGAAGGCATCATGCTCCAGCAGCGTTTTCTACATCAATATAAGAGCTGTGGTCTTCATCGTGATGAAGTTCAGGGTTTTTATCTAAACAGGATACTGTAGAAAACCGGACCTCTTTTCATTGGGGAACGTTTTGGGGTTTTATTTTAAATTCCATTCTTTAATTTGATTTGATTAAAATGATTCAGTGACGATTTTGAATGAACATATGTTAGTGTATCAGTGACTCATGTTGTTTTTACTGCATTATTTAAAAAATAAATATAATTACATTTCTGTCTAGAAGTGAGTCCTATTAAAAAAATAAAAAGAAACATTTGAACCTTGAGCAAGAAGAATCTTAAAAAATTTAACTTTATTTTACTTATTTATTAGTTTAGAAAATACCCAATATAAGAAGATATATTTGCTAACTGGTTAAAATATTATTTTTTGACCTTGTGTTTGGAAAATACGATTTTAATGACAAAAATAATTTGATGATAAGAATGCTTTTGCAGCTTTGAGACAAAAGTTGTGAAACTTCAAAATGTGGTATTTGGTAAATTGAATAAACTTGGTTTGAAACTTATAACCTATTTTCCTAAATGATTCAAATCGTTGAGATCTAAAAAAGCCTTAAATCTGGTCATTGGCCATCAAAATATGTGTCTTTCATGACCCAGCAAAACAATAACAGAGTTGTTTGTATGCTTGAATTCTGGGGAAAAACACATTGAAACTAGTCAGAAAGGGATCTGTTGGAAAGCAAAGAATTGTGGGAAATGAAGTACCTTCTGTTCATTGGGGACAAGCATCTTTCGGGCCTTCTTGATCATCGGCTGAGGCTTTAGCTCCTCGTCAGAGAAGCGGTGCCGCCGAGGGTCAAACGCCTCCTGTCCCGGCACACTGGACAACGCCAAGTCTGCTGGGTCGGGGTCAAAGTTCACCATGACGTCATTGCTGCCGTTGGCGGCCGCCGGGGGTCCGGAGGGTCCCGGTGGACAGGTAGTGGATGTGGGGGACGCGTCCTGAGGTGCCGCCTGACCACCTGGTGGGGAGACGGAGGAGGAGTTAGATTGGTAAACAGTTACCGTGAAGCTCCACCCACAGCCTTCAGGTGGTGTGACATACAACTTTACAACACTGTTTCCAAAATAAATCTCTTCTGTATAAAATTAAATAAAACAATTATTTTTTTATTGCGTCACAATAACTTTAATTTTGAAATGTTCCTATTTTGGCCACAGTGTATTTTTTACATTTGGCCACCAGGAGTTGCCAAAGTCAAACATTTTCCAAAGCCTTGAGTTATTTTTATAGATCTTTTCCACAGAGCCAGATGTGGATGCTAAGATGTAAGACACAACTGCAAAGCTGCTGTTGATTGCCAAAATGCAGAAGGTCAGTGGAAGGTCAGAGGTCAAGCTCAACTACAGACAAAGGAAGTGTAGCTCAAGAGCATTAAAGTTTGGTTTGAATTGAAAGCTACCTCCTTTGTCTGCTGATCAAAAGGCTAATAACCCTTGTGACGGAGGTGATCTCTGGGCCCATAGATCTCGGCCTCCGTTACGGGTTGTATAGCTTCATTGTGGTTGATTGTGTTCAGCTGGTGCCCTGTGTTGTCTCCTCCCCCCTCACCTGTGTCTTGTTGATTGATTAGTGTGTGTATTTGGGCTCTGTTTTCCCTGTCAGTGGGTTGGTAGTGTGTGTGAGATCCTTGTGGTGGCTGGTGACTGTGTTCACGTGGGCAGCAGATTGAGGCGGTATCATATGTTTATGATGTAATAAATGCCCACACCGGGTTGTATTTTGGACGTCCTGCCTCTGCCTCCTTGCTTGGTCTGGGCCGCTCAATTGTCAGCTTCACAACCCTAGCCCTGAACAATCTTTGATTTTAAATGGCAAATAAAAAACACAATAAAAGAGAGAGAAGAGAGCGATGGTGAATTCCAGTCAAGTTGAATCTGCTCTACAGTCCATTCAGATGCACAAAACAGAATATGTAAGACTGGCTTCATTACTCATTTAGAAGTGCAGCCATTATCATCTACTTTTATCTGCAGATTAGAGCCCATCTGCTCTCTGAGGTCACATGCCAGAGAGCGGTGGCTGAGCTAAAGGCTAACACGCAAAGATGATAACAAGACCGTCCTCAATGGAGGTTTGATCAAATGAACCTACACTCTGGAGATTAAGATGACTCAGAATGTGGAGCAAACTAGGATCAAATATTGTTATGGACTGCTGAGTACAAGGACTACTGCTGTAAAGTAGCAGCCTGTAAAGTATAAAACTTTCAATCTAATTTCTCATTTCTATTTACGTTTGCTGCTTTGTTCAAATATTTATTTTCTTCTTACAGTTCCAAAAGCAACTCACAAAAAACATAACATACCTTATTTAATTAATTTCAAGTTATGGCAATGCACTATGAAACAAATCATATACCTGCAGACCTCACCTATCTAAATTCACTATATTTACTTTTCATTCAATGTGGAAAGCACCAGCCTGCCTAAACACCAAGCCAATATACATGTTTTCTGACAATATTACATATTTTAGATCTGAATTTTATCCTTTATATTAGCTTTTTTAATGCTTTTTTTAGTGGACTCTAATTATTTTGTACTGCAAAATAGTCTTTTAGCTGTTTTATGTTTGAAATGCTATATGGTGACGTTCTATTTCTGCTTAGATGACATTTTATTGGCCCCATCTTACTTTTAAGTAAGGCACATTGTAACACATTGGCTATGTGCAGAAGTGCTTTACAAACACAGCAGTGATGTCTTTATTATTATTTACATCACTATCAATATAAGCAGTGGTTTTCTTGTCTTTTAATTCCATGAAAAGGATCAGATTTAGATATTTATACAATGGCGAATACAAAAAAAGTTACCAGACACGCAACTATTTCAGTTTTGGTCCAAAATCAGTCACAGGTCAAAGCCTGTCGTATGAGGGTTTGAGGCGACTGGCAGCAGAGGGACATGTGCTGAACGCTCTGTCTCTCTCCCTCATGCTTCATCCAGAGAGCAGAGAGCCAAGAATGAGGCCCACAGAGATGAGTTGACCATAAAGAGGATTACCCTATAGACAGCGGACAATATGTTCACATTTAATTCAAAATGGTGGGGGAGGATGGAATGCCAGTATGTTTGCTTTCCCTAGTCTAATTTCACAATAGTTTTGTGCACATTTAAATACAAGTGGACGATGTAACTTTTCATATTCTCAGTGAAATGTCCTCAAAATAACAGCATCTTCAATGTTTTCCACAGCAGTCGCAGTGACGGTGATTCACCACCAGGTGGCGGTGTGGAGCCAGAGACTCTGAGCGGGGCAGCGGGTTCACATCATGCTGGATTTACAACAAGCAAGAGCAGATTTAGTTTAACCCCTTGTGGTGCTTCGTGTGGGAAAAATCTGCTCCTATCACCAAGCACAATCGCAGAATGATCATAGCTGAACCACAATAGGAAAATAGAAGAGAATCTGATCATAAATCAGGTCTCTTGTGCTTGTTTGAGATTCAATAATCCTCCGTTTATTGACAACAGATTATGTTGGTTGGTTTGCTCGTGTGGCAGTCGATTTGTTTCGTCCCCAATTCGATTCCAGCAGGCTTTAGTGGCGTGACATTTCACATGTAGATGTCACGTTTAACAATACCGGGAATTGTGGATGTTGTGGTTTCAGTTGAAGTTATTCGAGGATTCTAGTAAATAGTGCGCCAGAGTGTTAAAACTCCTCATTAGTTCATTTACCCTGCAGCCATTCTGCTCCAGCACTGTTTTCTTTTCTGAATGTATCTCTATAGAACCAAGAAGAGTGAGTCTATTTTCAGCCATATCTCTTCACCAGCTGCTTAAGAATATGTTTTCCATTGCTGATACCTGGAGAAAAACATGATTTTTCAAAACATCTATTCTTCAGAAAACAAGCGTCAGTTGAGCAATCATCTAGCACCATTCAGAACTGTATTTTGGCAGCATTTGTAAGATGCCCTTTAATTTTTATTTTTTTAAGCTCCAGGCTCCCAGCCACAGATTATAAATAACTGCAGAGCTGGTGACCAATATCGACGGAAACAGTAGTGGAAAGATTTCAGATACTCAAACACATTTCAACAGAAAAGAGATGTGTTGGCAGTACATTACTTGACTCTTTAAATATTTTAACCAGCAGAGAGCACGGTTATATCCCAAATTATCCTCTTATTAAAGCAACATAATGTACTTAATCTTTAGACAACAACAAAATGATCTTTTACTGTAGGCGTATGGAGTAAAAGTAGTATTGTCAAGTCACATTTTATGAAACTACGGCTGTTGCAGGTAAACAGTCCGTTGGAGAGCAAAAGGGGCTCATTAGCTTAAATGCAATTACAGAACTAATTAGCTATGGCCAAAACCACAAGCATTGTACAAACCAAAAACCTTTTCCAGCCAGCAGTCCAAAGGTCATGTGATAGTGGTGTAAACACCAACATGTTTGCTGAGTTAAAAGCGAACTAGCTAACAGTTTGTTATTCCTGGTTTTGCTAGTAGCAGTTAGCAGTTAGCCGTTGGTGATAAGTGTTATTTAGCAAGTAAAGCTGTATGTGCATTAGTGAATTGTAAATTGCAGAGAGAGCCGAAGTAGATCAGGTGGAGGACATTAGAGGGCAAACTGAAATGAAGCTTTAGCGCAAGTTCAATTAGGAAGACCAATACCCCCTGGTGTTACACGTCATTGCAATACCCTCTCCTCTCCCAATAAGTGATCAGGGGCGTTACTCTCCCAGCTAGCCAATCATCGCACCCGCTAACCCCTTTAAATCTGCTCTTCCCTCTCTGGTAGTTGTCATTTCAGGTGTCAACGCACAAGTATACGCGTCACTGTGTTCATGGTTAAGGCAAGCAGCAGCAGGGGCTTCGTCCCAGCTCCAGGCATATATTCATCAGCTCCGCAGTCTTGCGGATTAAGCTACAGGCGGCGTTCCCCAGTCGGCTAGCGGTTCCAGCCGGCCGCCCCGCAAACCCGGACGTGGGAGGAAAAGACAAGGAAATCGGCTCCACGGAAGTTCCTCCGGCTTAATGGAAATGACCTATTTCACGCAAACAATTGACGCACGCCTTCAATCTCTCGAGAGGGCATCACTGGCATCAGGGCCGCTCAAATGCGGCGCTTCCGGCTTCACGCGGAACGGGCCCTCATCGCATGCGAAGCTTACCCATCTCTGGCTTCAACCACAACCCCTCCTGCAGGCAGGCAGGGCTTAAGCCACATCCCATTGAAGCTACTTCTCCTCCCGGCTCAGTAGTTACTACTGGACATGGCGGCTAGCAGGTTCATTGCACAGCCAGGCTCTCGCCTCTCTTTCCTGCGCCTCACCTCTAAAACAGGCGTCAGGGTAGCGTTGGCAAGAGGCAGTTGCAACAAATTCACGAGATGTTCGTTATATCGTTATGACCAGGGCTGCACATAACTGGTGCGCAGGTGCGCATGCGCCAAAGAAAGAGCACCGGGTCATTTGAAAAAAGGCGCATTTGCGCACCAACATTGAGAGAGGGAGAGAGAGAAGGGAGAAGAGGGAGAGAAGGGAGAAGAGAAGAGAGAGGAGAGAGAAAGATATTTGCGAGTTGCATATGAACTCAGGGCCGGCCCGTGGCACTGGCGTTATAGAGGTTCGCCTAGGGCGCCAGATCTGTGGAGGTGCTGCGCTGGCAGCTCTGGGAGGGAAAAACATTTTTTTGACCGTTGGTGCTCATCCTAATTTTTGGCCTTGATGTAACAATATTCATAATTAAGTAAATGTAACACGCTTTTCACCCCGGTTACACGTTTAATTTGCCCTGTACGATGGGCACTGTAAGTGATGAAAATGGGGGATGTTGGCTTATCTGGCGCCCGCAGCTCACAGCCAAAATGCGAGCGAGGGAGAGAGGGAGGGTGCACCGGTACCGGCGCTGTTATTAGAATCTGGTGCTAGCTGCGCTAACGGATATAAGAAGATGTTTCTACAATGATGTGGAGGGAGAGTTCTCTCCAGTCAGACTG